GAGTGGTTGCACCAGCTTGCATCCCCATGAGCAGTGGATTAGGGTTCTTTTTTCCCCACATCCTCCCAACACTGTTGTTGTGGTGTTTTTGATGATGGCTATTCTAACAGGGTGAGGTGGAATCTTAGTGTGGTTTTGATTTGCATTTCCTTTATGGCAGAGATGGTGAGCATTTTTTTCATGTGTTTTTGGCCATTTGAATTTCTTCTTTTGAGAAAGTTCTGTTTAGTTCAGTTGCCCATTTTTAATTGGTTCATTGATTTTAGGAGAGTTTAGTTTCTTAAGTTCCCTGTATATTCTGGTTATCAGTCCCTTGTCTGATGTATAGCTGGCAAATATTTTCTCCCACTCTGTGGTGGTCTCTTCAGTTTAGAGACCATTTCTTTTGTTGTGCAGAAGCTTTTAATTTTATGAAGTCCCATTTGTCCATCCTTTCTCTTAGTTGCTGGGCTGCTGGTTTATTGAGGAAGTCTTTGCCTATACCTATTAGTTCCAGAGTGTTTCCTGCCCTTCCTGTAGTAACTTCAGAGTTTCAGGTCTGATATTTAGGTCCTTGATCCATTTTGAGTTGATACTAGTACAGGGTGATAGACATGGATCTAGTTTCAGTTTCTTGCAGATGGGTAACCACTTTTCCCAGCAACATTTGTTGAAGAGGCTGTCTTTTCTCCATGTATATTTTTGCACCTTTGTCAAAATGAGGTGGGTATAGTTGTGTGGATTCATATCGGGTCCTCTATTCTGTTCCACTGGTCTTCATGTCTGTTTTTGTGCCAGTACCATGCTGTTTTATTGCTATTGCTTTGTAATATAGTTTGAAGTGGTATTGTGATACCTCCAGCATTGCTCTTTTTGCTGAGTATTGCCTTGGCTATTGTCTCTTGTGTTTCCAAATGAACTTTAGGGTAGATTTTTCAATCTCTGTGATGAATGTCATTGGGATTTTGATGGGAATTGCATTAAACATGTAGATTGCTTTTGGTAGTATAGCCATTTTTACTATGTTGATTCTACCAATCCATGAGCATGAGAGAGCTTTCCATCTTCTGTAGTCTTCCTCGATCTCTTTCTTAGGGGTTTGTAATTCTCCTTGTAGAGTCATTCACATCCTTTGTTAATTTACTCCTAGGTATTGATTTTTTTTGGCTATTGTGAATGGAATTGTTTCCATATATTCCTTCTCAGTTTGTTTGTTGGTGTATAGAAAAGCTAATGATTTTTGTAAGTTGATTTTGTATCCTACCACCTTACTGTAGCTGTTTATGGTGTCTAAGAGTTTTTGGGTAGAGTTTTTTGGGTCTTTAAGGTATAGGATCATATCATCTGCAAATAAGGATATTTTGACAGTTTCTTTACCTATTTGTATTCCTTTTATTTCTTCTTCTTGCCTAATTGCTCTGGCTAGAAATTCCAGTACTATGTTGAATAGGAGTGGGGATAGTGGCACCCTTGTCATTCCTGATTTTAGGGGAATGGTTTCAGTTTTTCACATTAAGTATGATTTTGCTGTAGGTTTGTCATATATAGCCTTTACAATGTTGAGGTACATTCCTTCTATTCCTAGTTTTCTTAGAGCTTTTATCATGAAGTGGTGTTGGATCTTGTTGAAGGCTTTTTCTGCATCTATTGAGATGATCAAGTGGTTTTGTCTTTGCTTCTATTGATGTGCTGTATTACATTTATAGATTTGCATATGTTGAACCACCCCTGCATCCCTGGGATGAAGCTGACTTGGTCATGGTGAATGATCTTTCTGATGTGTTGTTGGATTTGGTTTGCCATTATTTTATTGAGGATTTTTGCATCAATATTCATTAAGGAAATTGGCCTGTAGTTCTCCTTTTTGGAGGTGTCTTTGTCTGGTTTTGGGATGAGAATTATATTGGCTTCATAAAATGAGTTAGGCAGTGTTCCTTCCCTTTCTATTTCATGGAACAGTTTAAGGAGAGTTGGTATTAGTTCTTCTTTAAACATCTGATAGAATTCAGCAGTGAATCCATCAGGTCCTGGACTTTCTTTTTTGGGGGAGACTCTTGATTGCTGCTTCAATTTCTTTTTGTGTTATAGATCTATTCAGGTGATTAATATCCTCTTGGTTCAGTTTTGGGTGGTTGTAAATTTCTAGAAATCTGTCCATTTCTTCAAGATTTTCAAATTTGTTAGAGTATTGGCTCTCAAAGTAGTCTCTGATGATTTCCTGGATTTCTGTGGTGTTTGTTGTTATCTCCCCTTTTGCATTTCTGATTTTACTGATTTGGGTTTTTTCTCTCCTCATTTTAGTCAGGTTTGCCAGGGGTCTGTCAATCTTATTTATTTTTTCAAAGAACCAGCTTTTTGTTTCATTGATTTTTTTTGTATGTTTTTTTTTTTGTTGTTTCTATTTCATTGATTTCAGCCCTTATTTTAATTATTTCTTTCCTTCTGCTTGTTTTGGGATTTTGCTTGTTCTTGTTTTTCTAGGAGTTTGAGCTGTAGTATTAGGTCATTGATTTGAGATCTTTCTGTCCTTTTAATATATGCACTCATGGCTATAAACTTTCCTCTTAGGACTGCCTTTGCTGTGTCCCATGGGTTCGGTAGTCGTTGTTTTCATTTTCATTAACTTCCAGGAACCTTTTAATTTCCTCTTTTATTTCATCAATGACCCATTCATCATTGAGCAATGTGTTGTTCAGCTTCCAATTGTTTGCATGTTTTTTACTGCTGTTTTTGTTGTTGATTTCTAGTTTTAATGCATTGTGGTCAGATAGAATGCATGGGATTATTTCTATTTTCTTATATTTGCTGAGGCTTGCTTTGTGCCCTAAGATATGATCAATTTTGGAGAAGGTTCCATGGGCTGCTGAGAAGAATGTATTGCATGGAAGTTGGATGAAATATTCTGTAGACATCAGCTAGGTCCATTTGATCTATGCTGTGATTTAGTTCTTAGGTTTCTTTATTGATTTTTGTTTGGATGACCTATCTAGGTTGATAGGGGGTATTAAGTCTCCCACTACCACTGTGTTGGAGTTTATATATGTTTTTAGGTCCTTCAGAGTATGTTTGATGAAATGGGTACATTGATTGGGTGCATATAGTTGATAATTGTTATTTCCTTTTGGTGTATTTCCCCTTTTTATTAGTATGGAGTGTCCTTCTTTATCTCATTTGATCAATGTAGGTTTGAAGTCTCTTTTTGTCCAAGTAAGTATTGCTACCCTGCCTGTTTTCAGGGCCATTGGCTTGTAAATCTTCTTCCAGCCTTCACTCTCAGCCAGTGCTTATTTTCTGTTGAGGTGTCTCCTGTAGGCAGCAGATTGTTGGATCTTCCTTTTTAATCCAGTTTGCCAGTCATTGTCTTTTGATGGGGGAATTTACTCCATTAACATTCAGTGTTAGTATTGATAACTACATGGTGATCCCTGTCATGTAGTTGTGTTTGTTGATTAAGGGTTTGATTGTGTGCAGCTGAATCAGTGTTACTCTTTTCTTCTCCTGTGGTTTGGTTTTGCCTGCCCTTTCATGGTTTTGTTGCTTTCATTTTCTGTGTGCAGAATTCCTTAGAGAATCTTTTATAGTGGTGGCTTGGTGGTCATATGTTGTTTTAGTTTCTGCTTATTGTGGAAGACTTTTATTACTTCATCTATTTTGAATGATAGTTTTCTGGGTAAAGTATCCTAGGGTTGAAGTTATTTTCATTCGGTGCTTGGAAAACCTCACTCCATGCTCTTCTAGCTTTTAATGTTTCTATTGAAAAGTCTGCTGTGATTTTGATGGGTTTACTTTTGTATGTTATTTGTTTTTTCTCTCTTACAGCCTTCAATATTCTTTCTTTAGTCTCTGTACTTGTTTTTAATGATAATATGTGTGGGTAGTTCTATTTTGGTCAGTCTGTTTGGGTTCTGGAGGCTTCCTGTACCTGAATGGGCATAGTTTTCTCTAGATTTGGGAAATTTTCTGTTATTATTTTGTTGAATATATTATGCATTCCTTTTGCTTGCACCTCTTCTCCTTCTTCAATGCCCATGATTCTCAGGTTTGGTCTTTCGATGGAGTCAGTGAGTTCTTGCATTTTCTTTTCACAGGTCTTGAGTTGTTTAACTAATAGTTCTTCAGTTTTTCCTTTAATTTCCATTTCATCTTTCAAGTTCTGAGATTCTGTCTTCTGTTTGTTCTATTCTGCTGGAATGGCCTTCCATTTTGTTTTGTATTTCTGTTTCATTCTTTTTTTCTGAGGTTTTCCATATCATGGGTTACTTCCTCTTTAATATTGTCAACTTTTGTCCTTAATTTATCTCTCTGTTTATGGTGTTCTCAGTTTCAGTTTGGTGTTTATTTAGGGCTTCTATGATTTCATTTATTTGTGTCTGGGTTTTCTCATATTCTGTTTTTGTTTTCTTAGAATTTCTTGAGAGCCTCCTGTACGTTTTGGTTGATGACGTCTAGTAACATCTCTATGAAATTCTCATTAATTACTTGTAGGATTTCTTCTTTCAGGTGTTCTTGTGGGCTTCATTAGGTTCCTTGTTAGTTTATCTTTGTTTTATTGGAGTCTGGATTTCGGTATTTGTTTTCTTCATTTCACTCTACTTTATATTTGAGGGGAGAATAGTTTCTATCCCTTTTTCTTCTTCCCATATTTCCATTAGGTACCATTTCTATCCCTGGACTATGTGTAATTTAGTATTAGCTGGGTTACAGTATTAATACTAACAAAACCAAGAGAGAAGGTTAAAAAAGAGATAGAGAAGGAAAGATAAAAGGAAGAGAGAAGAGAGGAAAAAAGAAAAGAAAAAAAATGGGAGAGATGGTGGGTGATCAAATAGCAAACCAGGCAGCCAAACCCTTAAAGAAGGGAGGAAAAACAAAAGAAATAATAATCACCAGTTCTGGAACAGTAGAATTGTGGGCAGTCTTAGTTGTTCTGTTACTCCTTTAGCATCCAGTCCTGTCTGTGTGTCTCTTAAGCACGTTTGGAGCTCCCTAGGGTTGGCCCAAGTAGGATTCTGGTGGAGTGGTTATCTGGAAAGCCTATAGAGCTGGGGCCTGGCTCCGCCCAGATGGCGGGGATCCCAGCGGGCTGGGGGATGGGGTGGTCTTGCATACAGCTGGTGCCCAGCCCTGAGGCGTGGAGATCTTGATGGGTTGTGGCTCTGGTTGTCCCCTGGGGAGCTGGGGCCCAGCAGAGCCTGAGTGGCAGGGGATTCAAGGGGCAGGGGTCCTGGCAGGGCATGGATCTGGCGCAGCCCAGGAGTCAGGGATCCAGGTGGGTCTTGGTTCCAGTTGTCCCCCATGGAGGTGGGGCCCAGCAGAGCCTGAGGGGTAGGGGGATTGAGGGGTGGGGGTAATGGTGGGGTGTGGATCTGGTGTGACCCAAGAGGCAGGGGTCCTGGCAGGGCATGGATCTGGCATGGCCCAAGACGTGGGGGTCCTGGTTTCAGCACAGCCCAGGCAGTGGGGGGGTCCCAGTGGGACGTGAATCCCTTGTGGCCCAGGAGGTGGGGATCCAGGTGTGGTGTGGATCCAGTCATCCCATGTGGAGCTGGGGCCCAACAGAGCCCGAGGGGCAGGGGGAATTGAGGGGCGGGGGTCCTGGCAGGGTATGGATCCAGCATGGCCCAAGAAGCATGGGTCCCGGCAGGGCACAGCTCCGGCATGGCCCAGGAGGTGGGGATCCGGCATGGCCCAGGTGGCGGGGGTCCCGGTGTGGTGTGAATCCGGTGGTCCCATGCAGAGCTGGGGCCCAGCAGAGCCTGAGGGGCAGGGGGATTGAGGGGTGGGGGTCCCTGAGGGACGTGGACCTGGCATGGGGCTAGGGCCCAGCACATCCTGGGAGGCAGGGATACTAGTGGTGGTGGTGCATGGATCTGGCACCAAGCTGTGGCCCGGCGCAGCCCAAGGGGCGGAGAGCCCAGTGGAGTAGAGCAGAGGCTATGCAGGCCTATGGGATGGGGACTTGGCAGGCTGGCTGTTCTTTTATTAGGTTGTGGCATGGAGAAGCCCTCCACATCTGAGGGTTTAGCATGCCATATTTTTGTCTCTCCCTGGTGTTTTACCTCAGCCAAGCATGTCTCCAGCGTCTCCGCAGGGTCCCTGGTTCAGGAGCTCACAAGGTCTGCCGCTCTGTCTCAGTCACCATCTTGGAGAGCTTTAGAATCCTATTTTCAAAAGGTAGATAAATCTTTGCAATTCATTTATTTCACTGTACAATTCAATCCAAAACCTCACAGACACAAACATTCTGGCATCATTGTTGGTAGTTTATAAATTATATTAGTTATCTTTTAAGACTATGTCAATATAAATGTACCAATGATCCACTAATTGTGACATATGAAGTCATGGAGAGGCTGTAGTATATGTGAGTTTAGCCCACAGGCTAAGTCACAAGACAGCTTTTATTTGCCTTGTCGTAGTCAAATTCCTATAGCCAGCCTGGCTTGGACCAAGGAGACACTGTGGGGTGCCTACTCTACATGATTGTCTTTTTTGAGGGGAAGATTAGTTTTTTGCATCTTGCTATCACCATAGCATTCTTGATGGGTGAGAGGGGATGGTCAGCCTGTGATTAAGAGCTGCAGAAGGATGTTCTTAGCATAATCTCCTTCCTCTCCTCTGCCAAGCAGAACTCCATAGGGATGTTGCTAGACCATGCAAGTTTAGCTCTACTGACATGGGACTGGAAACTAGACAAGAAATGGAAATGCACTGTGACTTCCCCTGTCCTCTTCTACTCCTTGAGCCAAATAGTAAATTGAACTTTGATGTTTCGGGGTTTTTTTGCCAGGGTGGTGGGGAAGGGAGGTGTTAGAAATTCTTTATCCCTATCCCCCTGACTCTTCCTTACTTCCAGCCACTGCCATGGCAACATGGAACATCTGTTTCCAGGTAACTTTACAGATCATGGGAATAGCACCTTGAACTCCACCTCTTTGGGGCCCCTCTAAAATATTCCCACAGAGTCATGTCATTTTTCCAACAAAATGTTTCTCCTTTCTAATTCAATTCTCCCTTTAGTTTGGAACCAGGGACAATGATAATTTTGCTGGAAATTGAATCAATTGTGAAGCAGTGGGAATGAATATGGTTTAAAATCCTCAGGTTGGGTTTCCTGGAATTCTAGGCCAAGTCCCTTTTTCAGTTGCTCACAGGAAGTTTCAACTGATGTTGTTAGAAATTGTGTGTGTGTGTGTAATTTGGGTTATGGTAAGGCTGTAAGGATCCAGAAAAAAAGTTTGTTTCAGATGATAACTAGTGATAATTTTACTCTTTGTGCCAAGTGAATATTCAGAACCATCTGATGCTGGTGAGCCCAGCACCCATTCCTACTTTTTAAGTTGAAATCACTGTTAAAAAGTAGCCTCTATATGGTGGAAATCAGAGAGGGTTTTGTTTGACTCGATGTCTTATAAGCATAGACCTTTCTAAGGTACTCTTTCACATTTTCAGAATGCATATTTATATCATCAAGACTAATACTGAATACCAACCCAGAAGGAATTTATTCATGCCTCACAATTTTTCATTGCAAATTTTTAACAAAAACTAACAGTAATTGCCCTAATTTAAGAGAGCAAAATTCCTTTAGCACATGACAAAAATAGCCCTATATGTGCTAAAACGTAAAGAATAGAGTGGGGAAAGCTGACCATGTATAGTAAGCACAATGCCACAAGGTTCCTTGAGCTTCTGGTAGAGGAGAATTAAATTAGTAATGCATGTGTGTGATCTGGCTAAAATCTACATGCACCTGTGCCACCAAAGAGCAAACCACCCTTTTAAAAAATTTCCTTTAACCAAGTCCACAACTTATTTTGCTTGATCTCAACCAATTGAATGACCAGAGAATATCTGAAAGTCTCTATTTTTCTACCTTGTCTTTTTTTTCCCTTTTCATGGATACAAACTGGGTTCATTTTTATTTTTTAAAAATAAATTAAGGATTGAGTCAACAGATGCTATCTTGAAGAGGAGGAAGGAGAATGCCTTTTTCTTTTTAATTTATTTTTTTAATTCATTTATTCTCATGTGCATACAATGTTTGGGCCATTTCTTCCCCCTTCCCCCACTCCCCCTGAACCCCCTTGCTTCCAGGCAGAAATTGTTTTGCTCTTTTCTCCAATTTTGTTGAACAGTAGGCATAAGCAATAACAAGAAAGACAAAGCGATTATGCTAGTTTAGATAAGGATAGATATACAGAGAGATTCCTAGCGTTGCTTCCATGTACAAGTGTATTACAACCCAAACTGATTCATCTCTACCTGACCTCTTCACTACTTCCCAGTCACTTTCCCACATTGACCTCTGTCATTTTAAGGTTACTGTATTGGCTCCTGTGCAGTGGGGACATCAAACACTTCCAAGTTTTTGGCTTCCTACCTACCCCCATTATTCCCATATGTGCTTGCACCTTAGCTTGTGACCCAAGTCCTACATTACTGCCTTTGCCCTAGATCTAAAGTCTGCATATGAGGAAGAACATATGATTCTTGGTATTCTGAGCCTAGCTGACCTCGCTTAGAATGATGTTCCCCAGTTCCATCCATTTACTTGAAAATAATAAGATTTCACTCTTCTTCATGGCTGAGTAAAACTCCATTGTGTATAAGTACCACATTTTCTTAATCCATTCATCAGTAGTGGGGCATCTTGGCTGTTTCCATAACTTGTCTATTGTGAATAGCGCTGCAATAAATACAGGTGTGCAGGTGTCTTTGAAGTAACCTGAGTCGCATTCCTTTGGGTATATCACTAGGAGTGGGATTGTTGGATCATATGGAAGATCTATGTTTAGTTTTCTAAGAAGCCTCCATATTTTTTTCCAGAGTGGTTGCACTAGTTTGCATTCCCACCAGCAGTGTATGAGGGTTCCTTCTTCCCCACATCCTCTCCAATACCTGTTGTTGTTGGTGTTTTTGATGATAGCTATTTTAACAGGGGTGAGGTGGAATCTTAGTGTGGTTTTGATTTGCATTTACTTTATGGCCAGAGATGGTGAGCATTTTTTCATGTGTTTTTTGGCCATTTGAATTTCTTCTTTTGATAAAGTTCTGTTTAGTTCTGTTGCCCATTTCTTTATTGGTGCATTAATTTTGGGTGAGTTTAGTTTTTTGACTTCCTGTATATTCTGGTTATTAGTCCTTTGTCCAATGTATAGCTAACAAATATTTTCTCCCACTCTGTGGGTGGTCTCTGTAGGTTTTTAATGTTATGTAGTCCCATTTGTCCATCATTTCTCTTAGTTGTTGAGCTGCTGGGGTTCTATTTAGGAAGTCCTTGCCTATACCTATTACTTCCAGAGTATTTCCTGCTCTTTCCTGTACTAACTTCAGTTTCAGGTCTGATATTAAGACCCTTGATCCATTTTGAGTTGATACTAGTACAGGGTGACAAACATAGATCTAGTTTCAGTTTTTTGCAGGCAGATAACCACTTTTCCCAGCACCATTTGTTGAAGAGGCTGTCTTTTCTCCATTGTATGTCTTTGGTGCCTTTGTCAAAAATAAAGTGGGCATAGCTGTGTGGATTCATATCTGTGTCTGCTATTCTGCTCCATGATTCTTCACATCTGTTTTTGTGCCAGTGCCATGCTGTTTTTATTGCTATTGCTTTGTAATATAGTTTGAAGCTGGGTATTGTGATACCTCCATTGCTGAGTATTTCCTTGGCTGTCTGCAGTCTCTTGTGTTTCCAAATGAACTTTAGGGTATATTTTTCAATCTCTGTGATGAATGTCATTGGGATTTGGATGGAATTGTGTTGAACATGTAGATTGCTTTTGGTAGTATAGCCATTTTTACTATGTTGATTGTACCAATCCATGAGCATGGGAGATCTTTCCAAATTCTGTAGTTTCTTGATCTCTTTCTTCAGGGGTTTGTAGTTCTTCTTGTAGAGGTCATTCACATCCTTGTTAAGTTTACTCCTAGGTATTTGATTTTCTTTTTGAGGCTATTGTGAATGGAATTGTTTCCATATATTCCTTCTCAGTTTGTTTGTTTTTAGTGTATAGAAAAGCTAATGATTTTTGTAAGTTGATTTTGTATCCTGCCACCATACTGTAGCTGTTTATGGTGTCTAGAAGTTTTTGGGTGACCTATCTATTGGTGATAGGGGGGTATTAAAGTCTCCCACTACCACTGTGTTGGAGTCTATATATGCTTTTATGTCCTTCAGAGTATGTTTGATGAAATTGGGTGCACTGACTTTGGGTGCATATAGGTTGATAATTGTTATTTCCTTTTGGTGTATTTCCCCTTATATTAGTATGGAGTGTCCTTCATTATCTCATTTGATCAATGTAAGTTTGAAGTCTACTTTGTCTGAGATAAGTATTGCTACTCCTGCCTGTTTTAGGGGGCCTTTGCCTTGGTAAATTTTCTTTCAGCCTTTCACCCTAAGCTAGTGTTTGTTGGATCTTCATTTTTAATCCAGTTTGCTTAACAGTGTCTTTTGATGAGGGAATTAAGTCCATTAACATTCAGTGTTAATATTGATAAGTATGTGGTGATACCTGCCATTTTGTTGTTTTTTGTTTGTTTGTTTAGGGATTTGATTGTGTGTAGCTGAATCAATGTTACTCTCTACTTTCTTGTCTTTTCTTCTCCTGTGGTTTGGTACTGCCTGTCTTCTCATGGTTTTGTTTGCTTTCATTTTCTGTGTGAAGAATTCCTTGGAGAATCTTTTGTAGTGGTGCCTTGGTGACCATATATTGTTTTAGTTTCTGCTTATCATGGAAGACTTTTATTGCTCCATCTATTTTGAATGATAGTTTTGCTGGGTACAGTATCCTCAGGTTGAAGATAGTTTCATTCAGTGCCCAGAATACCTCACTCCATGCTCTTCTTCCTTTTAAGGTTTCTATTGAGAAATCTGCTGTGATTTTGATGGGTTTACCTTTGCATGTTATTTGTTTTTTCCCTCTTACAGCCTTTCATATTCTTTCTCTATTCTCTGTGCTTGTTGCTTTAATGATAATATGTCATGGGGTAG